CCTTGCTGTGAGGGCAGCAGGAGATCCCCTGTCCGCCCTATCCCCCCCGAGCCCCCCGATGCACAGTTGCCGGTGGTACCCACTGGAAGCAGTCCCGCTCTCCTGCCACACTCTTCAGGTACTGCTTCAGGGAGCTGCAAAACTCGCCTAGGTGCTTGTGTGACACCGTCATCTCGTCCCGCACCAGGAGGAGGTACTGCCAGGCCCCCCCGAAACACAGCAGCATGTGAGACCCAAAATACATGGTGCCTGCCCCCTCCCACCAAGTCTGATGTCATGCTTCAGGGACACTCCAGCATCCCATGGGTGGTGGCCGGGCACTCTCACCGTGCAAGCTGTGCTCTCCCGCTGGTGCAGGTCAAACCAGAGAGTCTGGGAAAAGGGGGCAAAGCAGTAGGGAAGGTGGGCTGAGGCTGCGTATTCAGTCCAGGCTGGCGAGTTTCTGTCCCCAGCATTTGGCAAGACGGGCTGTGTCCCCTTCTTTGCAGGGGATGGCTCTGAGAGCCGTTTGTACTTTCGTGCCCTCCCATCAGAACCCTCTGCAAAAGCTCCCCATGCAGCCAGCATCCCTGACACCGTGTCCTTACATCAGCCCCAAAACAGCCACCACCTTTTTGCAGTCCCTGAATTGCCCCTGGGGCGGCAGGAGCAGAGGTACCCATCCCTCAATAGCACCCACTCACGCCTTCCAAGCACCGGGTACACTCTTTATTTTCTCTGGCAACCACGATGGACATTTTTCTGCCCTCAACCTTCACAGCACCCCCCCTGCCCCCATGTACAGCACCACCTTTTCCCTGTCCCTTTCTGCCCTGAAAGTTCAAACCAGAAGGATTTCAGAAACATCTCCTGCACCACAACATTTTCTCATTCAGTCCCTAGATGGAGTAAGACTGCCTCTGCAAGACACGTTGCCTTCTTCCTTATGTCATTTTCTTGTTCAAATAAACTCACAGTTAACCATTCCACGTTCAATAGCTGCTGTCAGCTCATCAGACATAATACACTCCACCACCACCAGCACCAGCAACCCAACTCCCACTCACAGCCCCTGCACATCAGGGCACAGGGATGGGAATAGTCAACTCTTGGTCACCTCCAGCCCAACCAGGTCAGGGGAGGTGGTGGGGACACCCAAGGGACAGCCCCATGTGTGGAAGTGCTGGCCCTTACCTTGTCCTCCAGCCTGCCTATCAGCTCAGCCAGCCTGTTGATCTGCCCCTCCAGCCCCTCTGCCTTGGTGTTGGGGGAACCTGCGCAGAGCCAGGAGGCAGTGATGGAGTGAGAGGCAACCACAGGCACCGCTTGAGAGCCCCGCTGCCCTCTGGGGAAGCCCAGCACCTCCTCCATGCTGCTGTCGGGATCACAGCTCCCTTCCCCAAGCAACCCAAGCCACCCCAGGCTGCCAGTGTGGCCAGGAAGCAGCCATCGCTTACCAGTCTGGAAGGTCTTCCCGTGTTCCCTGGGGACCATCCAGCTGGTGGGAGAGTAGCTGGGCATGGGGCTGTCGTACCAGGTGTCCATAAGACCATGGCCAGCCTTGCTGGGGTAGTGCCTGCAAGCAGAGAGCACACAGGCCATTAGGGAGGGCATATCTGGGTATGTGCAGTGCAGCATGAGCACCATGGTCCTGGGGAGTCGATGTTGGAGCATCCTTTTTGGCAGCTCTGCCACTGATGCCAGATCCCTTGGAGAGCAGCAGTGCCTGCACCATGCCCAGACAGTGCAGGCTTCCCTCCCATAACATCCTTCACCTTCATCTAGTGTGGGGAGTGAGTCAGAATTAGAGCAACATCAGTGGGCTGCTCCCGGCAGCCGTCACTTTTCTTTCCTGCTTATGAAACACCACAGCAGCCCAGCCCTCCTGGCATCTCCTGCAGCCCTTGGGGATTTCTTCTCCCCTAGGCAGACACCCACAGCATTGGGCATTTGGGCACCGGTAGCTGTGCCCAGCTGGCCGGCTGCACCTTAGCAGGGCTGGGTTAGTAGTCAGATGGCTTTGGCGACTAACACACGGTCCAAGTTGCTGTCACACGGGCAGCACACAGGCTGCCCGTGCCCAAACTGCTGCCTGTGAGCAGGGAAAGCCTGGCAGGCTGGCCAGGCATCCCTCCAACAGGCTGCAGCTGTGGTTCGCCTGCAGAGTGGCGACACATCCACCGTAGCATTTCCTCTGCGGCTACAAAGCTCATTTGGCCTGGCTCAGCCTGCAACACCTCTTGGAGAATAGCAGCATGTGTGTGTGCGTGTGTGCGTGCATACACACATGCTCATGCATGCACATACCCCTGAGACATCAATGACCATTCAGTCCCAGCGCCTAGCTGGTCCTCCCAGGCCCTCACTCATTTGCAAGCCAGAGAGGATGCTAAGACCTGCTGTCCCCACAAGGGTTTGCAGCTGTGTGTGTGGCCAGATGGGAATGGGTTTTGGGAAGGATGACCCTCTTTTTCCTTCCTCCTCCATTGATGGGAAGGCTGAACTGCAGAGGGGGAGGCTGAGGTGCTCAATGGTTTCGAGTGTTTCCTACCAGCAAGGGCAGCTCTGTTCTGGCTGCCTGCTGATGGAAGTGCCTGCGAGCCCCGGCTCCTCTTGACATCTCTTGCCAGCCATGTGGCTCCCAGCTGGAGACAACGTGCTGAGCAGTGGGGAGCCAATAGGCACAACACTGGCCAACATCATCCCCACCCTCCTGCCTTTCCCCAGCCCCCCAGCACTCTCCAAAATGCAATGGCCAGCTGCCCTTTCTAGCCTCCCTGGCTATCCAAGGCAATTTCAGCTGGCTCCTTTGGTGCGGAGGGAGCAACATCTGGGCTCCTGTTGTCCTCCAAAATCGGTCAGTGTGGACTTGACCATGCACACAGGAATGTGATGAGCAGATCTGGTCCCAAAGAACATCCTCAAGATAAGGAAGCAAGAACAGCGATAAAGGTGGCAGGAAAATCCCCGTCGCTACAGGCTGTGCAATAATCCCACTGCCGGCACTGAATAATTCCCCGTCAATAGGCAGGAAATCAGGCAAGAACAGACAGAGGTTTCTTTTTAATCACAATTTAATGAGGTGTCTCAGGCTTGGATGCTCTGCTCTTGTACTTCGTTTTACAGTCCTTTATTTTGGTGCTTTTCAGGCCACCTCTTTGTCTTCATGTGGATGCATGAGATAATTTTTTGTGTTTTTTTTTTTTTTCTTTTTTTTTTGGCTATTATCACCATGAGAAAAAACTACAATACTCCTCATTATGAACTGGGCCCACACGTCAGCAAATAAAAGCCAGCAAAGTCTTTCATGGGCTCTAATTGCTCCATCTGATGTTGGGCTTGTTTCCTCCTCATTGTTTCCCAGGAGCTCTTACTTTTTCCATGTGTTTTGTACAAGGTTTGCCACAGGCCAGTGGTTTCCTTCCAAAATGGAGAGAAGAAAGCAATGTGAGGTGATGAAACGCAGAGCATTCCTCCTAGGAAAGTTGGTGAGATGTCACCAGCGCTGCCCAGGGTCTCACTGTGTCCCAGGCAGCAACAGCTCCTGTGAGACCAGCCCACTGCTGCCTGTCCAGGGTGCAATTGCTGCTGATGTTAAAACCCAAAATGCCAAGACCTGTCTGCAGTGAAGCATTGGGGCACGTCGGCCCCTGTGGTGTCCCAGCAGGAGCTGGGATTTTCACTGTCTGTAATCCACCTGCCTTGGCCCCCTCTGCCTGCCCAGAGCTTGGGGAAGCCAAGACATCCATCCCCCTGAGCATCCTATGGCCTCCTGGTTTGCAGGTGGGGCAGGAGAGGGATTCACTTCATGAGCATCTGATGAACGGTTTCCATGGTAACTTGTCCTGGTTACATCTGGTGACGTGGTACTCGGGGAGGTGAATGACACTGTGACACCAAGGGGGGCTGTGCTGAGGTTCGAGCTATGCTGCTGGGTACCCCTTGTATTTTAGCCCTGGCAGCACTTGAGAAATCTTGAAACTGTCTCCTCTGTCTTCTCCAAGCTCAGCAGCACAGTCTGGGCTGCTGGAGTGAGGATGGTCCCCTCACATGGGACCTGAGGATGGTGGTACCTGTCCCCAGTGCACAAGCACCTTTCTCCTCTGTGGATAATTTTCACCTGCTGGGTGCCCCGGCAGGAGGGACAGCATCCCTGGCATGGGAAGCTGCCCACCGTGGGCTGACCCCAGCACACCCCAGACACAGCCACCCTGCTGCTGGTGCCCATGTTTTGCCCTGAATGGGACTGGTGGCTTTGCTCGGAGAAGTAGACCTGTGCACCCAGGCTGCCCAGCCCAGCCCCAGGGTGCTGCCCCCTTGTTTGCATCCCCCCTTGCACCGCTCATGGGTGAACAGGTCAAGAAGGGACCTTTAGGGCTGCAGGACAGTAAGGGACAGGGCAGGACAGAGCGGTGGAGGAAAGTCCTGAGAGCCCTCAGGAAACTGGGAAGGGAGGCAAAGAGAGAGGCAGTCACTCGCCTGGCTCCCCTTCGCTCCTGCATACCATCTGCTGCATTTTCCCTCGCCCTGCAAAAGCATCCTCTGCGTCTCTCTACACCCCCCTGCACTAAAATCAACCAGGAAGTGGAGAGGAGGGCAAGGGGTGCCACAGACCTGGTAGGGTTGGTTTGCTCATCGATGGCATCCACAGCACTCTCCACAGAGCTCAGCAGCGACTGGGTCTGGTTGGCTGTCTCCTTTTTTTTTGACAAACTGGTCCACGTTGCTGCCGCTCTCGTACACCTGCCAAGGCAGACAGTGAGCACGGTGAGACCCAGCACCAACCGCCCAGTGCCAGTGGGCACCCCAAACAGTGCAGCATCTGTCCAACAGCCCGGGAGCAAGCTGGTCCCCTCAGTGTCCCCAACTGTAAGGGCCACAGGAGGAATGAGAATGTGCTGTCCCACCCCACAGGAAGCATGTAGCCCTCCGGCATCCATGGGTCACCCAGCATATAGCCCCTCCAGCATCCATCACACCCGGGACAGACTTAGAGAGGCTGTGTGGGCAGTGAGGCACATCAGCATTGCTTCTATAAACAAAGCAACGTGAAGAGGCAATTACCCAAAGCCCATAGTTGCTCTGTTTACCATGGTCTTAAATTACTTTACTATTGCCTCGAAGGGCGAGAGCCAGCAGGCACAGGTATGAAAAGTGTCCTCTCCTGTGCTTTGGACATCCCTACTCCAAGAGCTTCGGCATGTTATTTAGTGCCTTAGTCCATAACAGCCAACCTAGAGCTAAAGTAAAAGGGGTTTGGGATGATTAGCATGGCTCTCACCGGGGAGCCACCAGGTGAAGATGCCTTCAAACCAGTGGCAGAAAGATCTGGCATTCCCCACCCAGCTCCCTCCCATCCCGTACTGTGAGACAGAAGCCTCAGCATATTTCAGCATTAGGGTTTTTTTGTCTGAAGAGGGAGCAAAGGAAAACTCTGGCCATTGGAGGCCAAAGGCAG